CTGCCCAGGGGTGTGATTTTTAGCATTATAATGAGACCTTTTTCTGAACTTCTTGCTAACTTACAGGTGTCAGGGAGACATTATCTTGCTGGTGTTAGGGAGACATTCCAGGAATCCTCTGCATCCCAGACGCTGTTCTCTGCAAGCATCTCTTAACACACACATACCACACCCCTCCCAGCATCTGCAAGTTGCCTTAAGTATTTAGTTAGATATAGTTTGCAAAAGCTAGATATACCATAAAAAAGATTACATAAAAAGATTACATCACCTTGAACTCCTTCCAAGGGTGCTGCTGTGTGCCATTATTTATTTAACTATGGAAAAGCAATACAGCCAAGAACAGAAAGCCTGCAATGGGGCAGAACTTTTTTTAACACTGTGACTTCCTATTGGAGATCTCTGGGTTTTATCTTGTGAGTCACATCTGCACCCCCAACAGGGCTAACATTGCCTGATTCCCTTGAAAGGATTATTAGATTGAGAATCACTAGCCCCATCACTAAGCATGAGGCTGAAGTTGGGGCCTTATTGCCGGTTCCTTGCTTTGGGATGACCTGAAATGGATTTTGCCTCATAATCCCAGCCTCTCTCAGCTCCTTATTCAGGGCCGTGTGCTTGATATGTGATATTAAAAGAACCGCGAAGAAAAAAGACGAATAGAAATTGGAGAAAGATGTGACCTATTAGTTTATTAATGCCAGCTCGTTGCTATTAATAACTTTATTTGTATGATCTTTCTATATCATATGATGTATTGAATTGATAAAAACATACATTTCAAATGTATTACAATGTATGTGTCTATACATACACACACACATATACAAAAAAGTGTGTATGTATATACATATACATTTCAAATATCTATAGATAACATACATTTTAATATATTGATAGCTATATCTCTACACACGTGCCCCAAAACAAATTTCAGCCCCTGGGCTGCGCCCCAGCCGCAGCTTGGAGCGCTCCAACCCCTCCCCCCGCCCCGGGTTCGAAGCGCGTCAGGGAGCGGAGGGGGAGGGGCCGGGAGCGAAGCGTGGATCACGACCCAGCCTAGCCGGGGGAGAAACCATTGCTCTGGGAAGGGAAAGGAACGCTGGGAGAAACCATCGTTAGGCGGGAGTCGCTTATTTACAAGTTATTGTTCGACTCTCTGGCAAACCTCATCTCCCACTGACCCGGCGTCTCGGTTGCCCAATGAGAGATCAGGCGAGCGAACTGTTGACGCCCGGTAGTAGCCAATCAACACGGGGCTTCGGGCGCGGTTGCTAGGATGGAGCCGGAAGTGCCGTGCGGGTTGTGAGGCGGAAGCGGTGCTGGTCGAGGCGGTGCTTGGCCCCTTGGCTGGAGGGGAGGGGCGGGGCCATGGGGCGGGCGGCGCGCTGGTGAGCGGGGCGGGGTCGGGCTGGC